AGCTGGATGTCCCTCCACGGTTATTTCTTCCACGTTCTTAATTAAATAAAGTGCTACAAATTTTTTAGAAAAAGGAGGAATATCTAGGGATACAACTCAAACCGTTACCATCAAAAGTATCTCCTACAACTAAAAGATCATAAGGCGTCAAGCTAGTGACGTTAAAAGAGCGCTGTGTGAGAGGCAACTCACAAAATTTTCTTACATTTGAGTTCTTAATTGAGTTTCTACATTTAGCATTGGTCTTGCATTTGAGTTTCGGATATCTCATGAATTCTGCTACATAAACATTCTAGTCTGCAGTTTACTTTGATATTTGACATTCGTTTCTGCATAATTTTGAATTTTGTAGAGGAAGAACACAAATTGTGGATCCAATTTCTGTATAAATTCAAGAAAGGATCAAGTGCAGCAGAAGAGTGACCACTTTTAGAGTTTGTGGTAACCACTTTGGGGAGAAAAATGGGAGTTTATCATGAAGGTAATCACTTTTCAAAGAAAAAAAAGTAGTTACTCTCAGCCCAGGTATGTATCTTTGCACTCTCTGTAATAAGCACTTTCAATGGCTATAGTAGTTACTTTGAGCTCAAGTATGCATTTCTGCCACAAGTGACATGCCTTTCCATAGACTAATTGGTAAGGTGACATACCAATTGGAGTCTTAAAGGCTATTTTGTATGCCCATAGACAGTCATCTAACTTCTTGGACCAGTCCTTTCTTGATTGATTCACCACCTTCTCCAAGATTCGCTTAATTTCTCGATTTGAAACTTCCACTTGTCCACTTGTTTGGGGATGATAAGGTGTAGCAATCTTGTGTCTCACTCCATATTTTGCTAAGACTGAATCAAGATATTTGTTGCAAAAATGAGTACCTCCATCACTCAGTAAGAATCTAGGTACTCCAAACCTAGTGAATATGTTTCTCTTGATAAAGGATATCACCACTTTAGCATCATTGGACCTTGTTGAGATGGCTTCCACCCACTTAGACATATAGTCTACGGCCACAAGTATATATTCATGAGAAAAGGACGTGGGAAATGGTCCTATGAAATCAACTCCCCATACATCAAACATCTCCACTTCTAAAATATTGTTCAAAGGCAGTTCATGCTTTCTAGAGATATTGCCTGTCCTTTGACACTTGTCACAGCTTTCAACATAATTCTTGACATCTTTAAACAATGTTGGCCAGAAAAATCCTGCTTGCAAGACTTTTGCAGCAATCCTTGAGCTACCATGGTGGCCTCCATATTCTGAGTTATGACAATGCCACATAATTTCAGCTTGTTCTCCTTGTGGTATACACCTTCTCAGCAGACCATCTACCCCTATTTTGAAGAAGTAAGGGTCTTCCTATACATAAAATTTGTTTTCATGCAGAAATTTCTTTCTTTATTGCCAATTAAACTTTGTTGGAATCAGCTGAATGGCCTCAAAGTTTGCTAAATCAGTGAACCAAGGTGACTCTTCCACCACAAATAACTTCTCATCTGGAAATTCTTCATTGATGTCCAAAGAATTAGAGTTCAAACTGTCCAATGGCAGTCTAGATAGATGGTCAGCTACTCCATTTTCCTTGCCCTTTTTATCTCTAATTTCCAGCTCAAACTCTTGTAGCAGCAGAATCCATCTCAGCAATCTTGGTTTGGCATCCTGCTTTGACAACAAATATTTAAGTGCAATGGTTAGTGTATACTATTACTTTTGATCTTATCAAATATAATCTGAATTTGTCAAAGGCAAACACAATGGCAAGGAGTTCCTTTTCAGTAGTTGTATAATTCATTTGTACAGAATTCAAAATTTTGCTGGAATAATAAATCACATGCAATTTCTTGTCTTTTCTCTGTCCTAGAACAGCTCCTACTGCACTATTACTAGCATTACACATTAATTCAAATGGTAAATTCCAATCAGGTTTAGCTAGAATGGGTGCAGAAATGAGTTTCTCTTTTAAAAAAGAAAATGCATGCAAACATGCTTCATCAAACACAAATTCAGTTTCCTTGACAAGTAAATCACTAAGAGGTTTTGGTATTTTTGAAAAGTCTTTTATAAACCTCCTATAAAAACCTGCATGGCCTAAGAAACTCCTAATTCCCTTAACATTAATTAGTGGGGGCAGTTTACTAATAACTTCAATTTTGGCTTGGTCCACCTCAATTCCTTTTTCAGAAATTCTATGGCCAAGGACTATTCCCTCTTGAACCATAAAATGACACTTCTCCCAATTCAGCACAAGGTTTGTATTTTGACATCTCAACAAAACAATGGACAAATTAGATAGACAATCATCAAAAGAATTGCCAAAGACAGAAAAATCATCCATGAAGACCTCAATGGTCTTTTCTACTAAGTCTGAAAAAATGGACAACATGCACCTTTGGAATATGGTTGGAGCATTGCATAATCCAAATGACATCCTTCTATATGCAAATATTCCAAATGGACATGTGAAGGCAGTCTTCTCTTGATCAATAGGGTCCACCGCTATTTGATTATAGCCTGAATATCCATCAAGGAAGCAATAAAATGCATGTCCAGCCAATCTTTCCAAAATTTGATAAGCAAATGGTAAGGGAAAATGATCCTTCCTTGTTGCATCATTAAGCTTTCTATAATTAATGCACATGCGCCAGCCTGTGACAGTTCTAGTGGGTATTAGTTCATTCTTTTTGTTTGCCATACAGTCATTCCTCCTTTCTTAGGAATAACTTGAACTAGGCTGACCCATTGACTATCCAAAATTGGGTAGATTATCCCCGCATCTAACAACTTCATCATCTCTTTTCTAACCACTTCCTCCATGGCTGGATTCAACCTTCTTTTTGGCTGTACTAATGGCTTGTAGTTGTCCTCAAACAGAATTCTATGTCTACAAAAGGATGGATTAATACTTTTCAAATCTGAGATGTGCCATCTAATTGCATATTTGTGATTCCTTAAAACTCTCAGCAGCTTTTCTTCTTTATCTCCCTTAAGATTATTGCTTATAATCACTAGATATTGATGTCTTTGATCCAGAAAAGAGTACCTCAAGTGAGATGGCAATTGTTTCAGGTCAAGTTTCTCCACTTTCTCTTTTTCCTCTTCCTTTTTCAGCTCCTCTCTTGCTGAATTTTTGGATAAAGGGATGATAGGCAGTGTTTCAAGTTGCGGCACATATTCCATGAATTTTTCTTCTCTTTTTAAGGCAGCTTGTGAATTTCCTACAACTATAATTTCCCTTAACATAGAAAATTCATCAGCATTATCAATTAATTGAGGAAATGAAATAGATTCTAAAATATCAACTCTCATGCAAGTGCTATCATCACTAGGATGTTTGAGTGCTTCAAAAACATTAAAAGTAACATTTTCATCCTGCACTCTAAGCATTAATTCCCCGTTTTGCACATCAATCAAAGCTCTCCCTATAGCTAAGAAGGGTCTGCTCAATATTAAAGGAATATCGGCATCCACTTCCATGTCTAAAATCACAAAATCTGCAGAGAAAATAAACTTGTCAATTTTAACCAATAAATCCTCTACAATACCATATGGATAAGTATATGATCTGTCCGCAAGTTGTAGAGTGATGCTTGTTGGCTTGAATTCCTCTATTCCAAGTCTTTTCATGATGGAAAGAGGCATAAGGTTGATGCTTGCCCCAAGATCACACAAAGCTTTTCCTATTATGCAATTTCCAATAGAGCATGGAATACTGAATGAGCCTGGGTCTTTTAATTTTTAAGGCAACTTTCTCTGCAAAATAGCATTGCATTCTTCAGTCAAAGGGACTGTCTTGTCATTCTCTAACTTTCTCTTCTTGGACAACAGCTCCTTCATGAATTTTGCATATGAAGGCATTTGTTCTAATGCTTCAGCAAATGGTATATTAATTTGGAGCTTCTTGAAGACGTCTAGAAATCTCTCAAACTGCCTTTCCTTCTTAGGATTGGTGACTCTTTATGGATAGGGCAGTCTCTTGTGTCTCTCTTCATCTAGAGGCTTGATTGAATCTTCTAAAATCTGCCTCTCTGTTCTTCTTACAGTTTTAGGGAGGGTATCCACTTCTGAATTTTCTCTTTTCAATAGGGTGAAGTTCCCTTCCTCTAAATTAGATTTGATCTTCTCCTCTTCCTTGGGATTCTCTCTCTTTTCAGCTAGTTTTAGACTGCCTTCAACAACTCCACTCCTAGTCATCACAGCTTGGCATTGTTCTTTGGATTTATAACTGTGTTCCTAGGGAATCTCCCATCTTCTCTGCTGGACAGTTGCTCAGTTAGCTGTCCAATCTGTGTTTCCAGCTTCTTCATGGAAGATTCTTGATTCTTAAAGCTTGTTTGTGTAACTTTCATGAATTGCAGCATGGTTTCTTCCATTTCGTTCAGCCTTTCATTTAGTGGTTTAGAAAACCTCTGATTTTTTTGAAGTTGGTTGGCTGAATTCCTTTGGAAATAAGGTTGTTGTGCTGCTAGACCTATATTTGAAAATGGGATAGCAGAGTTATAATTTTTCCAATTGGAATTTTGGTTATTCCAGCTATGTTGCTGCTGGTTTCTATTGTTAGAGAACTGAAAACCAGGGGGAAATAAAGATTGTTGTCTCTAAAAATTCCCCATATAGTTGACTTGCTTTTGAGATTCAGAATTATTCCCATCACAAGCTCCGTTTACATGATTCCCTCCACAAAAGTCACACACAAGTGGAGTGTTCTGTGTTGGTGCAGCTTATAAGTTGTTGATTTGTTGGGTGAGTGCAGCTATTTGTTCAGAAAACAATTGGTTTTGCAGCTAATTTTGAGTAAAAAAAGTCTCAAGAAGTTTTGCCTCATAGCCACTACTCCTTGTTAATTGTCTCAAACTATAGCTTTGATGCATGGAGGAGGCCATCATATCTATAATTCCTTTAGTGATTTGGTGTTCAAAGAACCTCCTGCAGCTGCATCTATCATGGTTCTAGTTGCTGGATTCATCCCATTATAGAAGGTTTCAAGTTGCATCCATTCCGGTATGCAATGGTGTGGGCATCTTCTCAAGAGTTCCTTATATCTCTCCCATGCCTCATATAAAGTTTCTGCTTCTTGCTGCATGAAGGATGTGATCTCTCCTCTTAGCTTTGCAGCCTTAGAAGGTGGGAAATATTTAGTGAGAAACTTGTTGACCAGATCTGTCCAAGTAGTTATGCTCCCTTGTGGTTGGGCTTGGAGCCAACATTTTGCCTTGTCCCTCAAAGGAAATGGAAACAATCTTAATCTAATTGCATCTTCGCTGACTCCATTGATCCTTATGGTATCACATAACTGCAGAAAATTAGAAATATGCAAGTTAGGATCATCTGAAATTAAACCAGAAAATTGATCTTGTTGAACTAGGTGAAGTAAGGCAAGTTTAATCTCAAAATGGTTGGCTTGAATGGTTGGCTTGACAATAGAAGAATTGTATCCATGCATATTAGGTACTCCATAGTCTCCTAAAGTCCTTTGTCTATGTGGTTCAGTCATCTTTGCTTCTGAATTTATAGGTGAAGTTGAAGAATTGACTTGTTTTTCTGCTGAGTTTGGTGAAGAAGGTGTAAACTGCGAATTATGCTTCTTTTTAGCTGAGCTCTCTGCCCTTAATTCGTTCCTTATCCTTCTCAAAGTTTTGTCTATGTCCGGATCAAATATAAGAACAAATTTGTCTTTATTCTTCCCATGCATATAACACAAGAAAACTAAACACAAACACTAATACTTGAAATTTGATTAGAACACAAAGTAGTGGAGTGCAGAGAAATTACAATCAAAATATTCTTCAAGAGCTAAAAGAGATAACCTCTATTTATTTAAAAACAGAACAACAATGCAGTATTACAAAAATTAAAATAATAACAGCTAATATATGTAAAATAACTACCAAAACTTAATACGAAATTGAACTATCAAACAGAACTGAATTAAAACAGAAAGTAAGTGATACAATCAAGCTATCCTCTAGTTACTAATTATGTTAAAAATTAAGGTGTAATTTCACTACTAGCAAGTGTACTAGGTAGTTGTAGCAAATTATAAAATGTGGAAATCAGATTGAGTCCCAAGTATCATTCTCTAGGATCTTATTTTTAATCACCAATTCACAAGATAATAACCATTTGCACCAAACAATTCATTGAACAGATTTCAATATGCAAGAAAGTAAAATTCAAAATTAAGGAAATGAGAAATTGTTAAAAACAGAATGTGTTTCACTCTGCGTTGCTACGCCATCTGCTATGCGTTTCCACGCTCTGATGCGCGCCAAAGCGCCAGGTTATGTGCATTTCAACGCGATGGCAGTTATCCAGGTTCAATTGCTGAAGTGTTAACGTGCATCACTCAGAGTTGCCACGCAAACCCAGTGCTGTATTTTGTTCTTTCCACGTTCAAATGCCAATCACTTGGAGTTGTAACGCCCAGCTCTTAGGATTTCTTCAAGCTTGATTCTTTGACTATTCTTCTTTAAATTCAGCTTCTAGTCCTTCCTTTAAGCACTTTCAACAACTTTTCATCTTTTTGCATGAACTCACACAAAAATTTAAACAATTTTTAATATTTCAACAAAACAAACAATTTATACTAATTATATTATTTTTATGATCTTTTCAAATTTATTTTAGAACTATTGTCCTAATTATTAACCAAAAACTATGCTAAAAACATGGTTTAATATGGATTTATGACATACTAGGCAGTGGAAACTTGTAATTTGCACTACGATTCAGTTGGAGAGCAAAGGAAGTTGCAACTGCAATAGTTAGAGGAACTGGATCATGAGGCTTATGAAAACTTAAGGATTTATAAAGAAAAGACCACCATGACAAGATGATATCAAGGGAAAAATTTTGCACTGGTCAAAAGGTCCACTTGTTCAACTCCACCTAAAGCTCATGCCTGGAAAGCTTAAATCAAGATAGATAGGTCCATTCACAATCACAAAGGTTTTCCCTCATGGTGCAGTAGAAATCAAAAGCGACTCCACTAGAAAGAGCTTTATGGTAACTGGAAACCACTTGAAGCACTTCCTGCAACACTTAGCCTCCTTGGAGGAAGTTGAGGAGATTGACCTGCACACCCCTGTCGCAACCCTCAACGACAACACTTGGCCTAATTAATCCACTTCACACGTCAAGCTAGTGACATTATTGAATGGAAGTTTGATTAGCTAATTACAGAGAAACTCTTATCAATGGAAATTGAACTTGTTTCTTAGATCTGAATCAATTACCAGGATTATAGATTTCTTAGGGATAAGATAACTTGATCTTGCAATCTTCTGATTTCTAGCACTTAAAGCGACATTTAATTGAACCAGATCTAAGGAATTAGAGTGATTTAATTGAATGTTAGATTCATTGAGTTAAGGAATTAACCTTTGATTAAAATAACGTGAAACTGATTATCATTCCTTCTAATTACTTGAATGTTCAGAACTTTCTTGATTCAACACTGAAGTTTTGGTGAAACAACTCCCTAGCTATGTTCTCTACATTTGTTAATCACATAATTGCATGTTCATTGTTTTATTTTCCTTTCTGATTTTAATATTTGTCACTTTTATCTCCAAAATCCATCTGAAATTCGTGAAGCTCAACTAATTGTGGACTTGTGAAGTGATAATTGAGTACTTTATTCCCTGAGGACGATATTTGGGACTCAAACATAGTTCTTTCATTTTTTATAACTTGCTACAATAACACTAGTACACTTGCTAGTCAAATTTACTTATGTTTTCAAGGTGACATTAAAGACCTCATTTCTCTGCAATTTCACACTAATTTGGCACTTCAATTCAGGTAATTATCATCCTCGCACTCTCTGTGTTAGGGGTTTTCATATTATACATTAGGGATTTTGATTTGGGGTTTTTTGTGTTGAAATTGTTGCATAGAACCTGTCATTGTGGATATGATTGCATGATTAAAAGGGATTGGGGGTGTTTAATTGAATCAATTTGTTGCATTTTGTCATAATCACACCCTAGGGTAGCAACTTTCGTCTATAATAGTGACTACTTTGTGCATCTTCACATAATTTTGATTTTTCTGGTTTAATTCTAAACAAATAGTCATTGCTTTGCTCTGAATTTTGATTCTCCCTGTTTGAACCACATAGGGTTCCACTCTGATTTAGTTTAGCACAAATTGAACCCTAGAGTAACTACTATTATCTGTGATAGTGATCACTTTATGTCATACAATTCTGAACCATATCAAATGCTTTGGGACTAATGTTTGCTGTGAAAAATTCCGGATTGTTGTATTAGTTTGACGTGCTAAACCATGAAAATTTGCATTGAAGTTGGTAGAAATTGACTTGACCACTTGTTGCACACACACATACACACCTTTGTTAAAATTCTGTAATTTGGAAGTAATCACTTTCATTTCTAACAATGTTCACTTTGCATGTGTGTGAGTTGCTTGAGTCAAAATAGCTACCTTGGACTGCATCACATATAAATTGCTTGATCTTTCTGCAATCTGCTGTGTGTATTTTGCCCTTGACATGCATTTTCCTGCATTGATGCTACTAAAATTAAGAATGACATGCACCTCCAAAGTGCCCACTTTCACTTGCAGCAGTACCCCCTTTGTGTGTAAGGGCTGCATTGCATTTCTTCTAACCCATCTTTTCTGCATTTTGTGCCTAAATTTAGCATTATACACTTTTTGTATTTGCATTTATCATGTTGTATCACTGCTATAACAGATTTAAATTCTATAACAGCTACTGTTGTTTATCATAGTGACCACTTTGGCAACATATATAGTCCTCTCTTTGCACTTGCACTACACTTTCACTACATCAACACTGCAAAATTGTTGTCCATTTACCTAATATCATATGCACATAGCCTAACATGTCACTTGTACTTTTGAGAATGCTTGGTACTAATTTTGCCGCCTGTTGTTTGCAATCTAACACTAGCAAGTGCACTAGAATTGCACCAAGTGATGAGTAAATTTAAGATCAGAATATAGTCTCCACAGGGAATTTAAGTTTCAAGTACCACTTCAAAGAATTATAACCATTTGAGCCATACGAACTTTGGAATGAGATTTGTAACATATAATAGTAGTAAACAAAAGCAATTAAAGTAAAGAACTTGCAGAAAAATAGAGTATGTAATGAAATGAGATAGGAATGAAGAATAGTTAGGAATTTACTTCACAAGAATATTAGTATTAATTCAATTATGCCTTTGAACATTCAAGAACTTGGTTAATTGACAATCAGTTTCGCATAGTAATAGCCAAAGATTAATTCCTTAACTCATTGACCCTAACAATCCACTAAACCTCCCTAATCCCTTAGGTGAGATTCAATTTCAAGTTGCATTAAGAATTAGAACTATAAGATTGCAGAATTAGGTCTCCTTATCCCTAAGAATCCCTAAACTCTGGTTGCCAATTTAGATCAGAGCAAACAATCCAATTCCCATTGGTAAAGATTCCTCTTGATTAATCAAATGAATTTCCATTCAAAGATTGCATGAAAAGCAAAATTAACAACTCAATTAATCCAAGAACTTAAAGTTCAGAAGATAAAGTCGAATCAACACATCAATTCGAGTTCCATAAACCCCTAACTATGGGAAATTAAGCACACATTGCAACAAAAACAGAGAAAGAAGAAGAAGAAGATGAAGAAGAATGCAGAGCAGCCATGGCCACGAGCTCCAATCCGATCCCTCTTCTTGGAGCTTCAAGCTTCGACCCCAATCTTCTCTCCACTCTCTCTCAACGAGAATCTAACTAACAAAACAAAAAAATGAGCAAAAGATCCAGTTTTCGCGCTTCAATCATGTATATATAGAAACCCCAGTTCTGCGCGTTGTCACTTTTCTTCACAAGAGTAACCACGCAGAAGCTTTATGTAGTGCGCGTGTTCACTTTCAAGAGCAAGAGTAACCACGCGCAACTTGCAGAGTTGAAGGCTTCTCTGGAACATTCACTTTTATTCATAATAGTGGCAACGCAGGAGGTCAAGGGCTGCGCGTGATCACTTTCGTGAGTAATAGTGACCACGCACATGCTGTCCTGATACAAGTGTCTCTGGAACGCTCACTTTCGTTGGCGAAAGTGACAACGCGCAGCTCC